TCTGTGTGGAGTTAAAAGAAAATAAATGTTTGGATAAAAACTACTCCATTCGTCGACTGATGTCTTCAAGCTGCAACAGTGGTTTTGCACCCTGACTCTGCGTATCTTCCAAAGGTGATACCTTCTAGTTACAGCTCTATGTCTATAGAGCTTTCCAGCTTTAACCCCACCCCCTTTTGCACCTGAGGAGCAAAAGAGGCTGCATCTTCTGTGCCCCGTACGTGCTCTACACACTTACATCAGCCGCATACAGGATGTAAGGTCAGGTGATCAGCTGTTTGTGGCTGTTGCTAACCCACACAGAGGTAAAGCTCTTTCTAGACAAAGACTCTCTCACTGGATTGTAGAGGCCATCTTGCTAGCATACAGCAGCAAAAACCTTCCAATCCCTCTTGGAGTTAAAGCTCACTCCACCAGGGGTGTAGCAACATCTTGGGCCCTTTTTAAAGGGGTACCTGTGAGTGGCATTTGTGCTGCGGCCAGCTGGGCCTCACCAAACACATTTGCACGATTTTACAGCCTGGCTGTAACATCACCTTCAGTGGCTCATTCTGTACTTTCTGCCAGGTCCAAAGCTCTGCATTAGTACAGTACTTACTAAGGCACACTACATAACTCAGGTCTGATACGGCTCTGCGGGGCTCTTTGACAAGTCCCATGTACAACTGTGTGTTGTACTGAGTGAAATGACTGAAAAGGAACGTAAGGTTATGAATATAACCACGGTTCCTTGAAGGAATGGAACGAAGTATAACACCTTGTTGGCCCCGCATCACAAAGGCTCGGTGAAGGGTGGTATCTAACTGAGTAATGACGCTGGTGACTCCGAACTTATAGGGTGAAGGCGGAGCCTGTCACCCGACGTTCAACGTCACCATGTCACCAGTCTAAAGACGTGATTAGAAGTGGCTTCAGCCAGGCGCGCGTGTCCCATATACAACGGTGTGTTGTACTTCGTTCCATTCCTTCAAGGAACCATGGTTATATTCATAACCTTAAGTTTTATCTATATTTAACAGAAGAACATTTTGACACATTCCTATGGAGGACCAAACCTATCATTATTGGAAATAAATGTATAAATATATAACTGGCGTATTAAAATAAATTATAGGGTCAAAAAGAAGTTTGACAA